GCAAAAAATTTTTTTTAAAAAGAGCAGGCCTAATATGTACTGATGTGGAAGCATTAGTAAATATCAATAAGCTTGCGAAGAAAATTTCAAAGGCAGGGCAGTAATATTTTATCAGACTATAAGCATGCATTATTTGGACCAAGATTTCAACTAAATAACAATTTTGCTTGGAGATTTCCCTGGAAAACTCTACTTACAGCATTGAGGAAAAGCAGATCAAAGCCCATATTTTTTAAAGTGTTTTAAGATTGAAATATAACAGAACTGTCATTTTATACTCTTTTCATTATATATTTACAAGACAATGCCAGAATTATCTCTCTACTGGCTTAGGGATAATGCTTTTCTTCCCTCCTTTCCCAGACATCTGCTCTGCAAAAGCAACAAAAAGAAATCTCTGCAAAAAGCTGCAGGCATCTCCTTCCCTCAGATCCTGCTGACCATCCAGGGAGACAAAAACAAGCCTTATAGCTTCAATCAATTATACATTTGAGTGAATACATTCATACTGAAGCTATTCACCTTTTCTTGCGCTCCATTCCGTGGATATAAACCAAAGTGATGACAATTTCAGAGCTTGCTGCCAGGTAAGCAAGGACCCACAGCAATTAATAGACCACAGTAGTATGGGGAATTAATTCCACCATAGCCTTGCAAGGAGTTTTTTTGTGTGTGTGTGTGTGTGTGTGTGTATTTAGTACGAGCTTTAATTATTTCTAAATTGCCTGACTGGCGTAAAGATGTTGGTTCGGATTTAATTTTTCACCTCCTTTCACTAACTGCAGGAATCACAGCGCCCAAGAAAAAGACAAGCAGCACAGCAGCTGTAGCTTTAACATGCTTATTAAAGGACACTCTCAATGTCATCATGACTCAGCAGTGGGCTGACAAAACCACTCGTGCAGGAAACAACGATACTGTTTGGAGGTGTAGTGTGGCTCGACTGCTGTCATAACTGTGAGGTCAAACTTATCCTCAGCAGATCCATGAAACTGAATCCCATTAGACTATTTTCATTTTCCCCTGACTTTACAGTCATTTACTCCTCCTCATGTCAGCATTTTGATTAATGACGTGATTTACACACAGGATCGTGTACACTATATGGCAAGGTATCAATCACAGAGCTATATGTATTCATGGATTTTCAACAGCTGTTTTGCTGCAGTCAAAGCCTAATTACATCTAACTAATGGGTGTGCATGAACAACAATGCCCTGGAACTGAACATATTGAACATGTGTCACTATGTGTAGACTTAATGTGTTTAAATACATCAGATATATTCTGTTTATTCACTAGGTGCAAAATACCCAGAGTCATCTAGGGACAACAAAAGCAAGGTGATTATTAAGGATGAACACCTGTTTTTATCTGAGTCATATCCACTAATCTAAAACACCATCAGACTTTAATGAATTTTACCGTCCCACTTGCCTGACTCAAACTGAGCGGAACTCTTTACTTGAAATAAGACAAAATAGTTGCCAGGAAAATTGCTTTAAGGAGCAGTTTGATTGAATAATTAGCTTTTCATTAGCTTCTACAAACCTTTGCCATAGGAGGTCAAGAAAAGATGATTTGCGTGTGTGTGTGTGCATTTCACAGCCAATCAATACCCCTGAACCTGAATAATGTTGGAGGGCAAGGTTACCAAGGAAGGTCAGTGGCTAAAAGTGCAGGTGGTGATCACAAAAAATGCTTTCTCAGGGATAATTAAGGCTGGTTGTGTTATGGTTAGACTCCATCAGACAAGGCTCATGGATCCCATAGTGAGGTCATCTGTAATGCAATAGCTGAAAATGGACAAACTTTTCAATGATGGGATGAAAGACTTTATCCCATCATGTCCACTGGTAAAAGTTCTATATTTATATGCATATAATATAAATGCCATCATTTACAGCTCTGCACATACACACACACACATATATAGCACCTTTAACCTTAACTTTGTTATATAAAATGCTTTACAAGATCACAGCACTGCCATGCAAGGTGCTTACCTGCCATCAGGGGCAACATGGAGTTCAATATCTTTCTCAAGGACACAACCCTGCAATTAGCAGACAACCTGCTCCAGTGCCTAAGCAACGGACCCCCATAGATTACTGGTCAGAACAAACTGTATGAGTCAATTTATATTACTATCTAACCTCAAATATAAAGGCTTAGATAATAAAATGCAGCTGGGGTTGTGACTATGTATAAAGGATACATCTGACATGACCCATTTTGGACTAGCATTTTGAATGTCAGCATTAGTGTTTTGGCACTTTAATGTCCAATCTTCGTAGCTAGAACTGACTATATTTGGAGGAGAGTTTGGACTGCTACTTTATCAGAAAATGCTAGCAAGATGCATCTATAAATTGCAAGGGTGCCAAACACAAACACACTTACCATGCAACACCAGTTGCATGGTAAGTGTGTTTGGTAAACAGACCAACAAAGCAGTATTTCATTCGCCAAAACCGGAGAACTAACTTCTAGAATGGTTATACCACAGAGCGAGCCATAACATTTGTCAAACAATTCTATTAAAATGCTCCCAAATACTTGGCAAGTCACAAAAAAGCACTAAAAGGTGTGTGTCTGTGTGCGCAACATATTTTTTTCCACCACGAATATGTGAAAGCAACTGTGCAATGTTATTTGATTTGATTATCTTTTCAGTTCAATTTTCTCATTCCTATTTCTGTTTATGAACGTTCATATAAAACAATAACAAAATGTTCTAAAATATACCAACTCCACAAAAACAAAAGAGAAGTCAAGTTCAGTGACTATGGGGTGAAATGAGGACTAGCAGACGCCAATCAGCTACAGCTGCCTGTGTCCGAACACCTGCCAATCCAAGGGACCACACCCCTAATTCCGGGCTCACACTGTGCAATTTTGTCAGTCGCGCGATTCAGCTCCTGCTCAAACTATACGATTGACTCGCAGGGGTTTGAAGTTCATAGGTCACGATGCAGGGTCTCACACTATACGACCCGATGCTCTGATGCGACCCGAGTGCTCACACTGTGCGTCTATAAAATGAAGTTTATAACAGAAATTCTGTCGCTCGCTCTCCCTCACCGTCTTTCACTCACACAGACACGCACACCACCGCCATCAACTTTGGTAAATTGCTAATGAAAAACACTGATCATGCAGCTGTGATTGAGCAGCAACGTCCATCCAACTATTTTCACGGTTGTTGTGGTCGTGATAATTTTGTGAGGCCACATCGAAAAGGCTCGGATGAGCTTTCCAAAGTTCTACAAGTTGTGCCTCCATCGCTTGTGTCCAGATC